AACTTTACAAAATAATTTAGGTTAATGTAGATTTTGCCAATTTAACGGTAGATTTAAACAATGCAAGTTTAGATGACCAATAACTTACGTATACAAGGAAGCCAAGTAGGGAGGGGCCAATAGTGTTGTCAAGACTGGCACGGCGGCGAAAATTGGACAAGACAAATGGTCAAGACAAATTGGACAAATGGCCGTGTGAGATACGCGCCGCGGCTGCGCGGGTAGTGACCCCTGCTCCTACACAGCCTCGGGCCTCTCACAGTAATATTCCTGGATTATAATATAAAGGTAAAATAATTGGAGGTGATCTATTCCCCTACACTGATGCAAACTTGTGTTCTTTACTTATATTAATGTGTGCTTAGATATTTACTGGCGTATTTTGAGAAAAGTATAGTTTTAGAGTTGTACAATTGGATGCTTAAGTTAACACTCCATAAATATGAGCAATATGTAGTCCATTTGTAGCCAACGAGCCATTCATACGGCGTGCTACTGTATAAAGATCCATTTGATATCTTAATTCTTGATTCTTAAATAGTTTGATATGACATGAAAGATGCTCACATTAAGTTTTCCTTACAGGTTTGGTTAAACAGAAATTTGGTATCCACAACATTTGACGTTGTTTCTACTCGACATCATTCATGTTTATTTGTAGTGTATATTTCTATCATTATAGTCAAACATTATGCCAGTATTTTATGTTTTTCCTATATCAATTTGAATCCAGTGACATATTTGATCATCTGAGTTACAACTCAGGAGAATATAGAATGGCTGATGAATAGATACGTAACTATACAGATAGATAGGTCTATTGTTTGTGCTAAAATCTAGAATATACCTACAAACAAATTCAGTTTATAAAAGAAATACAACAGCAAACTAGCATAAACATCTCCTGTCGTAAAATCATTTGCACGTAACAACCATTTTGTTTATATGATTTTAACTGGGCCACAGTAAATTTAGGAACAATGACACGAAAATCAATCCTAAATAAAAATCGCCACCATTTATTTTTAGTAGGCTAAAGATCCCTCAAGGTCAAGGAAATCATCTAAAGACTTTACTATATCAACGTTATTGTAGATTTAAACTCCTGTCGAGATGAAAGTGCTTATGAATGAATTATTCTGAGTAGGGTATAAACTATGTGTTCGTGTGTCATAAACGTCATAAACACACACAAATATGTGCCGCACATAAACGTCTATATTTGGCAGATTGCCTGTTCTCACACCCCTGTTTGGTAAAATAAATAAAGCCTACTTAGTTTCCAAGGAAGAAAATAGTCAGTGGAAACCCGAATTTGTAACCGAATTCTTGGCTTACTAGATATTGTAATTTTTTATGAGATATATATTTATAAACAGTATATGCACAGAGGTACACCTCCCGAAACTCCAGTATTCCGTTCAGTAGACCAGTGTTCCGTTTGAACCAGACCGGCGGTGACAAAATTACCTCCAAACATGCAATTCTGCAATACTCAAGTATATTCATCAAGAATTTGAATATTCTAGAATGTCAACTCTTATTTCCAAATACATTCAAGTACACAGAAACATACTAACCCCCCTTCCCTAGTTAATTAACCTAAAAAGGTTCTTGTAAAGTAAAATGCTGATCAAGAAATTATTTAGTGTCAAATTTGTGAAACCTTAGTCAATTTATTTTATACCTACGCAAAAATGGTTTTAAGTTACCTTCGGCCAGCAATCGCATATTTTCATTGATGCCATTCTCACTGAAGAATCTTAGAATCTTCTACAAGGCTTCATTGGTCGGATAGTCTCGTAAATTATTGAATACATCCTTCAAGTTACTACGTAGGCTAGGTACTGCTAAGCAATAACCTGTACATATAACAGTACTGCCTTCTCTTTACTGACACTTACTGCAGGCACAGCTGTACTTCATTAGTGAAGTCTCAAGAATCTCACCCCAGTACAATCGAGGTTTCAGTGGTCGGCTAGTCTCATATTATTCAATACATCCTTCAAGTAGAGGTTAGCATCAGAAGCGCCGCTGTTTGAAGGCTGTTGAAGGGTGAAGGCTGAAGGCACTTAAGTCTCTACATTCGTGTTCACTGTCAATCACCAAGCATCTCTCGGATCCTCCTCTAGACCTCTTCTGGAAGAGAATCTTTCAAAAAACGCAGCAAAACAGTCTTACCACAGTCTGCGATGATGTAAACCGCTACCGATATAAACGTTCACTTGGCTATATGCTACTCTGACAAGTTAGTATACGATTTAAAATGTTTTGAATTTGAAAACTATTTGAATGCTAGGTTGCTTTATATTAATAACACCACAGTGTCGTTCATACGAATAATGCATTTTCTGCAGTTATACAATTAACTGAAAGTGTAAAAATATAAAATTAAAAGAAATGTGCAACTTAACTCGGTAAAACAGCATCATTTAAATTTAGTTGTAGTAATTGGTATCATAATTGGATAAACAGGGACTAAAAAATAAATTTCCAACCTGGTTTATCGAACGATTCAATTTCCATCAATATTAAAACTCACTATCGTCCTAAAATCAAAAGATTGTCACCAAATCGTTTAAAATCATGAATATACTCGTACATAAAAATTATAAACCTTATAAAATTATTATTATAAATACATATTTTAGTTCCTTTGTACCGTGAATAATTTATTTAATAGACAACAAATAATCAAATATAATAATAAATATATTTAAAAAACTATGTCACACTTTATACTGTAGTTACATTGAAAGTAAAATGCAATTCTTTGTTTGATTATCATTAGTCAATTTCGTTGGTAAGTATATTTGAAAGGAAATCAGTACAAGAATATCGTATGTTTACAACATCGATATGTATTGTACAGTACTTATTATGCAGTGATTGTCGGTGTGATACCCGATTCTCAACCATAAAAAGTCACTTGCCCGCATGCTCGAGTTCAAAGTGGCTTGCCGCTGCAATACTATTGTTAGACCTGCATCCAACTGCATTAAGATCTGTAGGCGATGCCGAAGTTATTATCATTAGCCTTTAGAAACCCATTATCTGTATTTAGACTATCAAATGTTGGATTTTTAGGCATTTTATATCCTGCAATATCTTGTATTGTTATGGTAAAATTGAGAGCAGATAGTTATAGCGTCTCCTTTACTTTTTTCAGCTATCCATTACATAACTAATGGACAAAAACCAATGCATAAGTGAAAATAAGTGATAACTGCATACTTTACTTACTTTGTACTTTTCAATGAAATGGTGATCATACAAAGTAGGTATTTTAAGCCAAGTATGAATGGAGATGAGTGTAGAATGAGTGGCGCGTTCTTGTAGTCTTGTTAGTGACTAAGGCCGACTTATTCCTTAGACACAGCTGTTAATTAATAACCCATACAGTTAATGGCAATTAAGGGACCTACTGTTTATAATGAAATCCGAACCACATTTTTGCCTTGGTATATACGAATTGGTCTAATTTTCAGGATAGTACTGCGGATAGTCGTAGTACTCACTCGTGCGGACGTTTATCCACACCAGGGAGTATCGCATCCACAGTGCATGCCTATAAATATCCACAATTCGTAACCTCTTAGTAGTTGGATTACAGGACAACGCCACCGTCCCAGTAACTTTTCCTCACAAATTTTTTTTCGTCAAGTTGTGACGATTGTCAATACACTGTATTTATGTGTTTCATGACAATAAATATTCTTGATTCTTGATTCTTGATTCAGTTGTGTTTTGTTTGGTAACGAAATAATTTCATAGTAGACCAACATAATAACAAATAAAGGCAAATTTCCACATCAATATGCTTAAAATAATTGTTTAAACTAATATCTTAGTTAAATTTACTCTTCTAGACCCCAAGGGAATCATGCATTTCAGTTATGATTAAATTTTTAATTTTAGCGGTAGATAACCCCAGATAAACTTCTTATATTTAAACTAAATTTGATCACTTTAGGTAATAAGGGTGATGTTGGTATGACCTAGTTATAACCCAAATTATTTCTGCTAATTTTTCCCCCGTTGAACCAAGTGCAAACTCTACAACACCACACACTGGTCGATTATTCAAATCGGGATGTTTAAATAACTTAACTACAATGTTGAAGTCAATTTATGCCTCTGACATTTCATACAAGTAGTTTTTCATATTAACGGTTCCCTCGGAAGAATGTGGAGGAATAATTAATTATGCTGGGGACACACTGTTTTGGGAGGAAATGCAAATAAACTGGTTCCAAAAATGATTTCTCCTGACGAAATGCAAATGGCGCACGTGTCCTCCTCGCGAATCTGCATCAACTGGTGAAATTATCAGTAATTAATGGAGATTGTTATTGATGGCACTTTGTCGACATGGGGTGGTCGGGAATCAACGAGGTTACGTTTTTGTCAAAACTCCTTTCCCACTTAGTCCATAGGACAAGTATGTTTGCATTTAAATGCATTAAATTTGCAGTGATCAGGGTGTAAAAACCAAGACTTTAGTATTTTCAAACAAAACAAAACAGTAAATTTCTAACGAGTTATTTGGAATAAGGAGGGGGAAAGTATATTTAACCTAACCAATTAGGGTCTTAATTTGGTCAAATCTAACTTGGCTTAAGTGTATTTAAGTACAAATAATAAAATGTAAACAGAGAGCTACTACAGTACTTCAGAAACCTTCATATCTGTGGTAAAAATAGTTTTAATAACCTTCAATAAGCAGAATTTGGAAAACACACAAATCTAAATTGTTTAGTATTTAGAAGGATGTTTACTTGCGCTGTGAACTCAGTGATGGGACTGTCACAATCAGACAGATTATGTCAAAGACTCGGGTTGCTCCCTTGAAAAAACTTACAATTCCACGCTTGGAACTATGCGCCGCCCATCTTCTTGCCCAGATAGTAGCCTATGTGGTTTCTATTTACAAGATAAAATTAAAGATTTCATCCATCATTCTCTGGTGTGACTCTACTATCACCCTAACTTGGCTGCAGACACCACCTCATCGATTGAAGACCTTTGTTGGGAACAGGGTTGCGCAGGTGCAAGAATTAGTACCTAATCATTGCTGGCGACACATATCCAGTGAATATAACCCCGCTGACTGCGCGTCACGAGGTATCCTCCCATCAGAATTGTCTAACCACGAACTTTGGTGGTCTGGTCCCCCATGGCTTCAATATTCGAGTGAATCTTGGCCATCCTCAAACTTTACTCCTCTAGATATTACAAAAACAGGAGAAAATAAACCTCAGTCACCTACCACTCTTATATCTACAATAAAACCCACTCAAGAATGGGAACTCCTCACTAGATTCTCTCACTTCAGCAAACTTACACGAGTGATGGGTTACATTTTACGATTCATCTATAACCTCCGGCACTCAAAAAGGTGCTCAGGCCCTCTCACCTCATCTGAGTTAACTCAAAGTCGACTGACAATCTTCAAGAAGGTTCAAGAAACGGTTTTTGGAGATGACATCGCAGCGTTGAAGAACAACTCATCTAAAACCAATTCATCACTTCGACGTCTCCATCCTTTCATTGATAAATCAGGTTTACTTCGTGTTGGTGGACGATTGAATGCATCTCAACTTTCAGAAGACGTTAAGCATCCTGTAATTCTACCTAAGAAACATCATGTGATTGACATTCTTATTGATTTCTATCACCAGAAATATTTGCATTCAGGGCCTCAATTAACTCAATCCCTTCTCGCTCAGAGCGTTTGGATTCTTTCTGCCCGCAGCGCAATACGCTCTCGAATTTTTAAGTGTGTCATCTGCTTTCGACACAAACCACATAATAAAATTCCACTGATGGGTGATCTCCCAAAATCCCGAGTGACACCTTCTCGTCCATTTCTCAACACGGGGCTGGACTACGGTGGTCCTTTCAACATCAAGGTTCATAACCTCCGTTCAATACGTTTGACAAAAGCGTACATTTGTATCTTCGTCTGCCTTGTAACAAAGGCTGTTCACATTGAAGTAGCTACTGACCTATCAACTGATGCCTTCATTGCTGCACTAACTCGTTTTGTGTCAAGACGTGGCCTCTGCAAGAACATATATTCGGACTGCGGGACAAACTTCGTTGGTGCTAATAACGCCTTTCAAGCTCTCTTCAAGTCAGCTGAACGAACATCTTTTCTTGAATTTTCCTCAAACCAAGACATTACCTTCCATTTCAACCCCCCAGCTGCTCCTCACCAAGGTGGTCTCTGGGAAGGAGCCGTTAAGAGTGCCAAGCATCACCTCCGCCGTGTCATCGGCGAACATGTCCTAACCCTCTCAGAGTTCATGACCCTGACTACTCAAGTGGAGGCGATACTTAATTCGAGACCTCTCACACCAATGTCAAACGACCCTTCAGATGTCACTGCGCTCACTCCAGGACATTTCTTGGTCGGAGCTCCACTTGTCTCTGTTCCTGATGAAAATCTGGAAGATGTTCCTGATAATCGCCTGAAACACTGGCATTTGGTCAAGGCCCTAAATCAACGCATCTGGAAGAGATGGTAACTGGAGTACATTCACACCCTCCATCAGCGGGTTAAATGGACTGAACAAAATTCCAATCTTCGCATTGGTGACCTCGCCTTAGTACATCAGCCTACTCCTCCTCTTTCTTGGCCGTTAGCTCGGATTGTGGGTGTCTCCCCTGGAAAGGATGAGGTTGTACGGGTCGTCCACTTGAAAACTCAACAAGGACTCTTGACTCGACCAGCTCACAAGGTTTTTCCTTTGCCTGCTTATCAAGAGTAACTTCAAGAACTTTAATTTGTAAATAGTATTTTTTCTCAACCACTTTGGAAAGAAGATTTATTTTATTGGAATATTATCTTTGTGTTGATTTGTTGAATCCTGGAGGATTCAAGGCCCCCTGTATGTTTAGTATTTAGAAGGAAAAAGGAACTATTAACTTTATATTAATTCTAAAGAAGAATATTTATTTTATTTTAAATACAAATGGTAATGCCAAACGCCAAAGCCACAGAACCCAAGTCCGTTTTATCTTCAGACAACAATCTTATCGCTCTATTCATGTCATTGTCTTTATCGCTTGTCGTTCGCCTCAGACAGGTATCCTGGTCATTCTCTCTCTGTCCACGGCCCTATTAATATGGTCTAGTACCGGCCACCTCTTTTAACCTCATTGCCATTAACATTAACTAATCAAGTTGTTTTTAGTTTTCATTTTAATTGCAATTGACATTGTCCAATCTTATTCTGAAGTTATTTTGTTGTTTTAGTGACAAGTAGTATTTTTATTTGCGTTTTATTAACTCACGAATCATGCACCATCAAGTAATCAAAGTGTCCTGTGCGGTGTCGCGACTTCCGTGTAATTAAAGTGGCCACGAACAATAAAAGACTTAGCGTTACGTGCGAACATCAAGCCTTCAAGCAGAAAGAAGACTAAGAAGAGCGAAAATCGTCTCATCCAACATCCAAGGGTTCGTCACAGCGCCGACACTAATCTGAAATTCAAATACGCCATCTTTCCCACTTCCCCCTACGTCTGCACTGGAGTTTGTAAAGGTACATGTTTTCAAGTTTCTTATTATTTTCCGCAATGTAATTTGCGGTGGTCCTTCGTAATTTACCTATGAATAATCACTTTTAATATTCAATTTTTAAATAAATACACTCATACGTAACACTAAATTGAACAGAGTAAACTATTTAAATATTGCCTTATATTTCGTCAATAACACTTCATTGGTAAGAATTGTTTTAACAGTTTTTACTTTTATGTACATCCTCTTTACACTTTTACCATACAATTACATACTGAAAAATACTAAATAACAACTACTCAATGTAACATCAACTTATGAAACTTATGAAAATACAACTTGAAAATCTTCGTCTAATATCAATCGAGCAAAAGAAAACTGGTTTTAAACCTCTTTATAGCAATAAATAGATAGACGTATCAACACTATCATGTGCCTTGTTTTATCATTGAGTCTTCGTCCCTCTGACCTATCTATGACCACCCAAATCCCGGATCATGTACAACATCAAAATCTACCTGAAACTCATCAAAATCATTAACCTGTCTTAGGATTTCAGAAATTAGAACAACCCTAACCGCAGGTACTGTTCGAAGAGTTGAGTACGAACAAAAGTCAATCTTCTCAGTCTATTATCTCAGAGCATTGATATATTGATGGAAACCTCTTAATTGAACAAGTGCCCGAGCAGGACGTAGCCCGGCCCCCCGGGCCTGTATAGGACTGGTCGTCATCAAATTGCACTACATCGTTCAACAAGGCGATCTTCTAGCGTATTCTTGTATGAATTACCGTGATAGTACGCATTTCTTGGGATGTCTACGCAAATCCGCAACTCTAGAATGCACTGGCTATGGACTTAAGTTTTTAAAATGGTGAGAGTAACTGAGAGTTTAAAAAAAAAAAACATTTATTATGATTTTACCAATTTCAAAACGTTGTTGTACCGAACGTTCTTAGCCCCTTTGTGCCAATGTATTGCTGCACTTATTTCCTGGTTTAATCTTTTTTTTTATTTTTAGTACATATTGTACAAAATACGTTATACAGGGTGAGGCAGTGAGAGCACCCCGATTTTCTTTCGTTGTCACATTATAAGTAAAGCAACAATGAATGAACAGCTGTGTTATAACATTAATCAAACTATGCAATTTTAGTAAGCATAGTGCCTGAGGCTTGTAACACTGATATTTTGATGTATAAACCTATTTAAAAAATAGTTATTCTTGTGCAAACACCCAGAGATTGTTTGGACCACATTCCATACTTGGTCGATATTGCGCTGTTCCAGATTAGAAAACAATAGGGAACTGCGTAAAATTATTTAGGATAACCATAAAAATAATCGGTGGGTGCCGGAAAACTCTTTGTACACCAGCAAATGTTGAAAAAGTGTGAGTTGCAGTAACTCAAAGTCCAAAGAGGTTTTCCAGAATGCTTTCGTTGTTGAAAGCTTTACGTTGGCTCTTTGCTTTTTTTTGGGGGGGGGGGGGTTCTCCCTATAAACTACTTAAAATTTAAGGTTTTTCAAAGTTGCTCTAGAGGTTTTCTTGAATTTTCAAGAAACTAAAGTGATCCCTGAAGAAATGTTGGAAGGAGTATTCAAAGGCATTTTTTAAGTGACTGAAAAGGAATGTGAAAAGAAATGTCAAGTAAGACAAGGACGTCACTGAAGGGATTTTGTTTTCAAGAAATGGAAAAATGACTTTGTTAAGTTAAAATGGCAGAAGATTAGTTGTTTTTTGGTGTGCTATTTATATGTATAGGGTAAATAGTATTAAATTTGTACTATTATTTTTGTAGTATTTGTGATATTAATTCTCCTGGGTCAGGTGGTTTTCAATGTCATTTGTTAAAAGTCCAATGATTTGGGCCCAGTTTCGAACCATCAACTGACTTTTTTCAAGATAAGATTTTCCTGCTCGTTGAAGGATGAGTAAACTTGCTCAAACAACTTGCGTAAAGTTTTTCGTCAAACCACTAAATAAATTAATTGTTTGTCAAATCGGCCAGCATTGATAATCACACAAGCGATGTATCAGCGATCTGACGTACCTGGTTACATAGATCGCAATAACCAATAACCATACGTTTCCCGCGTCCATTCGGCTGATATATTCTGGGCTGCTTCTAAACGATGACGATGTTATTTCGTGTAATGACGCTCATATTTCCAACAGTGTTTCTAAATGCCTTCAGTTCGGCGCAGGTCGTCCCTAACATATGTATGAGAATTATTCACACTTGGTTTCCCAGGAACGTTTCTCGCCAAGTCGCGTCTCTTGTTTTGACAGCGATGCGAATAATTCGCGATGTCTGGTCGAAATTAAGTCACACGCTTGGCTGAATATTGTCTCTTTGGTTAGAGTGCTCTCAGCAAAATTTGAAAAGATACACTCAAAGACGGATGAGAAGGAAATGGGACTACGCTACGTGAACTGCTATTAAAACGAAGCCATCTTCTGTTCCAGTTCAAAGAGATCTACAATAAAGACAATTTATCATACTATGATTTGTCAAAAATAAGCTAAAATAAATGACTTGATGATACTTTATCACGAGCAAGATACATTTCAATACAAATGAACGCAAGGTCTGTTGTGAACGTATATATCACGTTGCTACCATCAAATCTGTGTTTCACATGATCCAATTCCTTAATAAGTTTCACCCAGACAATCTATTAGTACCTCACAGCAGATTCCTTTGTAGATACCGATGATGAATCACCTATTGATTACCAATATTAATGGCTTTGTAACAACAGCATGATAACTTTCTCATTAATACACTGTTTCAGATTAGAGTTTCAATCTTTAGGTATATTTGCTCATCTTAGTGATTTATGTTTTAATTAAGTAGGTTGAGTCTCTCGGGTATAATTGAAAAAGAACTTAGTTTGCATTGAGGTGTAAAACTACCATTGAGAACTAATGTAAAGGTGAACAATCAGAACGTTGATTTTCTCTATTGTAATATTTGTAAATACAGTAGTCATTTACTGCATCTTGAGCTGCTTTGTACTACTGTATCAAGATCCGTTTATTCCTCTTTGACTGCAGGTTGCAATACTCTTTAGATTTCTGTATTAAAATGCTTACAGCTTTTGTAGAAAAATACAAAAGCACAGACACCAACCAACAAAACCAAAGTGATTCAAAAACTTCGATATAGTTCATCACGTACCTGGTTTTCTGATACAAATTAATGACAATTTTTATATCTTTTGATTGTCATGTTCTTGCATTTTGTCAATTATTTTTAACATTGAACTATTCCTATATTCATATTCCTATATTTATAAGTCCATTTATATTTGTCTTCACAGCATTTTTCGCGTTTAAAATTATTGTCACATGTATGAAAAATTCCATAGTTTTTGAAAATTCAGCTGTTGGCGGATCGTAAAAACCAGCATCGCAATCTCAATTAACCATTCTTGGTATATGTTTACAAAGCCAGTTTTACTTTATACTGCTAAAACGTCATAGCTTATAATATGTTTTCCTTAGAATAGAGAGATCGGTTTACTTCATACTATAAGGCTGCCCACAAATAATATATAGAACGATTTTATCTCCTAATCGTGATAAACATTTAAAATACGAGGGAAACCTTTGAATTGTATAACTTAATACAATTACGTATTTTATAAACACACCGAATAATGTATGGATAAATATTATTTACAAGAGCACATTTAAATGCATCACTCTACAAATCATGTCAATGATGGGTGACAAACACAATTCTAGGAGCGCAGATGAGGCGATCACCAGCTGACTCGTCAGTAGCCAGACACTAGGACTAGACAGTGAGTTATAGTAGTCAAACTATATCCACAAACTTGTCAATGTTGGGTGACAGCAACACCTCTAGGAGCGCAGATGAGGCGATCACCAGCTGACTCGTCAGTAGCCTAGACAGTGAGTTATAGTAGTCAAACTATATCCACAAACTTGTCAATGTTGGGTGACAGCAACACCTCTAGGAGCGCAGATG